GTTGTTAATTAGTTCCCTTTGTTTGGGGCTCTGTTTTTATGCTTTTAACTGATCTATGAATTTCTTGTTTTTTCCTTTATGATATCCTTTGTGTATTCTATTTTCCATGCATATAGCATCGCAAGCCTATTTCAAAGTTAAATTACTATTAATAGTCTATTCCCGAGGACATTTAACTTATATGTGACTTCTGTGGTTACGAACTGATCGGTATGTAATTTAGTAATCTAATTTGCTAAATCAGTGTGATTGAGTAATTCCTGTTTCCATACTTTATGCATTATTGTCCATCTTTCCCACCTTAGAGGGATTGTAATTGGAGTTCTATGTGCCAAGGTAGGTATTTGAGTTGTACTATATTTCCCGTTTAGAAGTTGTGAATTAAGCATGCTGATAAACATAATTGAATTATTTTGACTCTTAGTTTTGACATAATTGGACTGCTTAGCGTTATACTATTCTTGTTCCTTATCACTTCATTTTCAATTTTCTTTTATAGATATAAAATGAGAAAATAATAGATTTATTGGATCCAAATCAAAGAAACCTGCAGGTAGAATGGATTTTGTGCTATAATTTTGGGAAGGGTTCAGGAACAGCTGGTGCATGATGTTCCTACTAGTTCAGTTGAACCATGCTCATTTGCAGCCTGTTTCAAGAGTTCTCGACTCTGAAGAAGCAACTTCAAAATTGCAGAAGAAGCTAGAGGAGTTGCATCTAAGATCTTATAATCTGTTAGTATCTTCTTGTGATAATCTGAGAACATTCTTGGTTTTTTGTTTTCAAATAGCCATAGGTGATGGATATTATGTTTGTAACTTAATGTGAATATATTGTATGCAAATGGATTGTTTATATATAATATGATATATATATTTAGTATTATGAGGCATTAAATGTGATTTAGTTTGATTATTTGTCAATCTACAATATATATATATAATAATAATTTACGAAATACAATCACAACACACGAATGTGTGTCATCTTTTTTAATGGTGTGTGCTTCAATGACACATAATGTAAGTCATACATGCGTGTCATAAATTTATGACACACAAATGTGTGTCATCTTAATTTATGACGGGGGCTTCAATGTCGCTCAATAAACGTCATAAATGTGCGTCATAAATGTGTATCATAAATGTGCGTCATAAATTTATGACGCACAATTGCGCGTCATCTTAAATTCACGTCGGTGGCTTCAACGACAGGCAAATGTATGTCATCCGCACCCATAGATGATGCGCAATACGCGCCATTAAAGGGGTTTTTTCTACTAGTGTGGCCAACGATATTGCTCTCATTATGGAAGAGAAACAAATTCTATCTTAATCAATCATATCTCATTACATAGATTATGATATATACAATGTCAATATTTATTGTACTATCAGTTACAATAGACGTTTGATTGTTTCAAAATATGTGTCTCAAGATGTTTCGATATTGATGATCTCAAGTTAGAGGATTTGTTTACATGGTTGTCACCATGAATAATATTATGTCTATTACATAATAATCCAAGAAACATATTCTTAACGGATCAATCCAATATGTTATTCTTTAACATATATTTATGCACTGATTTTGATATCTATATGTCAGTTACAACGCTTTGTCATCAATTAACTACACTTTATTCTTACTACATTATTTTTATTCAAATTCACAATAATATTTGACTAAATATCTTTTAAGAATTATCATATTTTTCTTAAGACTTTATTATAAATCAATTCATTCATATGTACAAAAAAAGGAAACTGAAATAATAATAATATCTTTTAATTAACAAGATGAAACTAATATGTTATTACAATAATCTTATAATTGCTCTTTGAACATATTCTAACACATATAACATACACTACATTAATTATGATTATTAACCAAACTAAGTAGATAATGCTGTTTAAGCTAAACATATGATCAAATCTCAACAATTAGAAAGGCCATGAGTTTAGCGCTAGACAAACTCAAAGCGAACCAGCAATCACTTGTCGTCCACTGCCAGGAACAAACTAAAGAATATGATTCGTGAAATCCACTATGAAATCTTTTATGTTTTATTTATATTGACTAGCTGCCAAACTAACCTTGAGGTCAACAGGATAATGAATACAAACATTTTTGCCTACCTCTTCAAGCTTACAATAAGTGACGAATCAAGAAATATTTTTTAAAGTAAACACACATATATATTAATAACAATAAAAATTTCATATGGAGTAGGTACAAATAAAATTTCATGATATATATTAATAGTAAAATGAACAACTAATATAAAAAAATCGAATTCCTAATGTCCACCCTGAACAAGACATGCGTACACCACTGCTGACAATGATTTTCTCCCCCCTTTTAACTCTAATTTTCCATCTATACCTCCCTAATCAGGGGCGGAGCTCCCTTAGGACCAAAGGGTCCTCGACCCCTATAAAATTAATTTATATTTGATAGATTTTGATCTAATAGTATTTTAGTTAATGTAAAAATAAGTATTTAAATTAAATATATATATATATATTTATTAGATATTTAATCAAGTAAGGGCGAACTAAAGAATGATAATCTAATACCAACAACCGGTTGGTCTAGCGGGATGACGCACTAGATCCCTTAAGCAAGGTCAAGGGTTCGAATCTTGGCGATTGCGAATGGAGCAAACTGAGTTGGGATGGTCGCCCTCGCCTCTGCAATACCCGATCCGAATTAGTCTATCACTATATTTGAAATCGATGGTTATACAAAAAAGGAATGATAATTCAATCTTCTCAATTTTTTGATCTAATAACAATTTAGGTCATTATAAATTTAATTATTAGATAAATTAGACATTATTTTCTGAATTGTAAGTTTAAATATCTAATAAGTAATTATATTTTTCTTAAAAATTTTAATACTGACTCTGCCCCTATCCCTAACCTATAAAACAAACAAGTTTCCATCAACGAGCTAACCCTAGATAAAATGTATTCTTCTTTAGCACCTTAGAATTAGATCAGCATATACAAGGATTGAATATCTATTTGAATTTTGTTCGAATCAATTTATTATTTTCTGAATTAACCAAATTAATTGGACTTAATAGTAAAAATAAACATACAATTTTATATTAAAGAGTACGAACTTAAAAGATTATATTAAAAATTTAATATATCGTCATATTAGGAGTAGTGACCGTCAAAGTTACTTAACTCATAAATGTTGTGACAACTTATCTATCAAAATAATTGCATATTTTTTCAAACTCAGACATCTAATAATAGCTATAATACTTTATTAGGAAACATGTTTTGTAGGTATGTAAACGAACGGAACGTTCAGAGAACCGTTCGTGAACTATTCGACGGAAAGTTTGTTTATGTTCGTTTATTTATTAAACGAATAAGATTTTGTTTTCGTTTAATTAAATGAACGATCATGAACAGAGGGCTTGTTTTCTCATTTACGTTTGTGAACGTTTGGTAATATGTTAGTTCGTTTATGTTCGTTCATTTATGTTTGTTTATGTGCGTTCATTTATGTTTAGCTCAATCTATCTAAACCCATTTAAAATATTAAAGCCCAATAAATTTTAATATGATACCCATAAATATTTTAAAATTCAATTACTTTTAAATACATATAAAAAAGCTCAAAACAATTAAATATAATATAATCCTAAAATTGTTAGGAAAGAAAAAATCTATTTTCATTTATGTTAGTTTATTGTGTTATTTTACGATCGTTTATTGTGTTCATTTATATTCGTTTACATTCGTTCGTTTATGTTCGTTAATTTGTGTTCGTTTATCATTTAAATGAACGATCATGAATGAACACAAACAAGCTACATTCCTTAACGAACGAGCATGGACAAGAAATTCTTTTGTTCATTTATGTTCGTGTTCATTCATTTTTTCAGTTAAAGTTAAACAAACGAACATGAATATACCCTCGTCCATGTTCGTTTAGTTCGTTTAAAGGAATAATGTACTGTAATGCAGAGAAGAGTCGGATAATAGAAATTTCATCAAGTTGAATGTCTTTGGTTATACATTTTAAATATATTTTTAGATTAATATTTACTTCATTTGTTAAATTAAAATATTATTTTTAGGGTAAGCTACACTTGTAACCACTTAATTATAGGAGAATTTTAATCTTACCATCGATCTTTCAATTTTGTCAATCAGACCACTTAATTATTTGAATGATGTCAATCAAGTTATCTGCCATTAATATTGGATTAAAGAGTTGACATAACGATTAAAAAATTCATATAATTAAACATTTAGTCATCATTACTTACACATTCTATATAATTTAATTGAATAAATTTAAACCTTCAATCAGATGATGAAATATGTCACTAGTGGCAGGTCCCATAACACGTGTTATCATATGTTTGGAGAGAAATTTTATTGAATTAAATAAATTAAAATTAAGAAAAAAATCTTTTAAACAGATGGTGACACGTGTTATCATCTAATTATAAGATAAAATGTATTGAATTAAATTAATATTAGGACCAAATTAGATTTATAAGTAATAATAACTAAATGTGTAACTATAACAATTTTATTAACTATCATGTTAGTTACTCCATCAAATATTAATGATATATGGCTTGATTCACGTTATTTAAATAATTAAGTAATATGATCAATAAAATTAAAAGATGAATGATCAAATTAAAATATCTCATAATTAAGTGGTCACGGTGTAATTTTCCTTTAATTTTATTACTATGTTTTTAATTTTAGTTGCAAGAATGTAAATTCTTGCTTCATTTTTCTACGCCTTTGCAACCTATCAAGTGGATTCGATGGTTAAAAGAAATATTTTTTTTATAGAGGTCATAGGTTCGAGCAGCTGTATTTGTAAGATGTGTATGTTATTAATAATTAATAAATATTCTAAACTGATAATATCTTATAATCATAATATTAAAAAAACCTTTCTAAATAGTGAATACTATACAAAATTTCTCTTCCATATATATTTTACTCACTCCACTTTCTTCCACCATATGCTTTTTCACTCTTCTGATCTGCATATCTTGTATAAGAAATATGTCAGACCTTCATCAATTCTGTTGTTCGAATCATGATTCTCAATCTCACCCTAACAGCTTTCAATCAGATTCCATATGTCTATGGCCTCGGCCAAGCCTCCCATCAGCTCCTTCCCAACTTCACCTGCAACAATACTATCTATCCAACATCCAACACCACTGCCTCATCACTCTAAAAGGCCACACTTCCTATATCTCCTCTCTCGCCGTCGCCGGAAAGTTCCTTTATACTGGCTCTTCTGATAAGGAAATCCGATTATGGAATTGCAATGATCTGAACTCCGAGTTCGAATACGAAAATCTAACTAATAACATGTTGGTTGTGGGAAAGGGTGCTGTGAAGTCCTTGGTAGTATTAACCAATAAACTCTTCAGTGCTCATCAAGATCACAAGATACGAGTATGGAAAATCAATAATGATGATTCTGATGACCGAAAGTACACTCGATTGGCGACGCTCCCGACGTTAAGTGACCGCGCCACGAAGCTTCTCCTGCCGAAGAATCGTGTTCAAATCCGAAGACACAAGACATGTACCTGGGTCCATCATGTTGATACGGTATCCGCTTTGGCCTTATCCAGGGATCAGACCCTTCTTTATTCTGTTTCCTGGGACAGGACACTCAAAATCTGGAGAACCAGTGATTTCAAATGCTTGGAATCGGTGACCAATGCTCATGACGATGCGATAAACGCAGTGGCATTATCGGATGACGGAGATGTTTATACAGGATCAACGGACAAGAAAATTAAGGTGTGGAGGAAAATTCCCGGTGACAAAAGCCATTCTCTAGTTGCTACACTGGAAAAACATAATTCCGGGATCAATGCTTTAGCCATAAGTCTCGACGGGTCGACTTTATACTCGGGTGCGAGCGACAGGTCGATAGTCGTGTGGGAGAAGGACGAGGGTGGCGATGGCATGGCAGCGACTTGTGCACTTAGGGGGCATACAAAATCTATATTGTGCTTGGCTGTTGTGTCGGACATAGTGTGCAGTGGCTCAGCAGATAAAACAATCAGGATCTGGAGCAGAGGGGTGGATGGAAATTACTCATGTGTGGCAGTGTTGGAAGGGCATAAAGGCCCCGTTAAATGCTTAGCCGGAGCGGTCGATCGTTGCGACCGTTCCAATACATGGTATGTTATTTACAGCGGAAGCTTGGACTGTGATATCAAGGTGTGGCAGATTGCTGTACCCCTTCTCTAGAGAGGGCTTCCTCCTTGCCAAGAAAGCAGAGTTGCGACCGTTCCAATACATGGTATGTTATTTACAGCGGAAGCTTGGACTGTGATATCAAGGTGTGGCAGATTGCTGTACCCCTTCTCTAGAGAGGGCTTCCTCCTTGCCAAGAAAGCAGAGATTTCAACTTTAAGAGACGCATGCGATCATATTGAATTAGTATCTGTTCAGAATTTTCTTAATCAATTAACAATTAATATATTCTATAAATTAATTACTCGAACTCTAAACCTCTAAAAAAAATAACATGTTTTTATCGTTATTTTAAATTGTATTATCCAACGTGTATATAATAATATATAGCAAACTGAGATAACCGACCTTACTTTTAGACACAAGATTAAGTGGACAGTATAAATATATTACCCTAAAATGGTACGGTTGATTATGATTTGATGTGGAAAATCGAAGCACATGACTGGATGATGACGGAAATAAAATGTTATCTTGCAGAGATGTATAAAAGTGTAATATATATAAAGAAATGTAGGTAGGTTGGGAGAGAAACATCAACAGGCAAAAGAAGATAAGGTATCTTACAGAATATGTATATATACCTGACACATCTCATTTTAAGTATAAGAAATATATCTACATATAAAACTTAAAATTAAATAGATTTATGAGTAAATTCTCGTTTAATACCTAAACTATCAGTTTTATTTTGTTTTAGTACTTAAACTTTCATTTGTTTCAAAATCATAAATAACATTTACTTTTTGTTTTATTTAGTTTCCTACCCTTAAAAAATTAACGGGCGTAATATTTTTATGGGTAAAGTATATTATCTATCACTTAACTATCTTCTTAATTTTATTTTGGTTACTAAAGTTTAAAAAAAATAATTTAGCTACTCAACTTTCAAATTGCTCACGTTTTAATCACTCTAATTTATTTTACTAATAAATTTTATGAAATTATATTTTTATTATTATTTTATTAATATATAATTAAAATAAATAAATAAATTTGAAAGTTAGAGTGATTAAATTAGGAGTAATTTAAAAGTTAAGTAATTAAATTAAAATAATAAACTTTAGTGACCAAAATGGGAGTAAAAAGATATTTAAATGATGAATGATGTAATCTACCCATAAAAAGTGTCATGTTGTAACAGTTTCGTTAAGTTTTTAACGACGAGGTACCAAAATGAAACAAAATACAAATGTTAGGCATGATTTTGAAACAAATGAAAGTTTAGGTGTCAAAACAAAACAAAACTAATAATTTAGGTATTAAATGTATAATTTATCCTAGATTTTTTATTTGTCTTGGATATATGCCTAGAATCTTAATTACATAAAGGAAAATCATTAAGAGAGATATTGGAGAGTGAATTTAATTTAGCCCAGATAGTAAAATTAAAAAGTTACATCAACCATGTTATTTGGATAAACCTTACACCTTTTAATTTAGTTGTAATGATAATGTTATTCCTTAATATTTGTATGACAGTATAAGTGGTCATCACACCTCTTATATTGTTAGATTGTAGTTAAAGAGGAGAAAAGAAAGAGAAGGGGGAATGTTAGATTACTATCAATGCAACACGTGTGCATGAGGAGGCAGTTAGACTATTAGGATTGGTTATGCTGAGGTTGTTAGTTTGTTAGATGGTTAGTGGAGCTGATGAGAGTCTAATCTTCTTGTATAAATATAATGTACCAGCTGATATGAAGAATACAGTATACTTTCCTGTGTATATTCTCTATTACGCTCACTTCCTAATATGGTATCTTTCGCCAAAGTCCTGGGAATTTTAGTTTCACGCTTCTAAACTTTCTTTCTCTCTGGTTCTTCACACATGGTGCACAATGGGTCTAGTCAGCAAACTGCTGACTCAGTTGCCATGGATTATACAACTTCCCGTTTATTCCATTTGTTTCTACAACCTCATGGCTGAAACCGTTGCTGACTTCACCACTTCGACCGTCACCTCCGTCGAGGCACCAAAGCCTCAAGAAACCAAAAAGATCGCCGAGACGCCTGTTCGATGGGCCGATTTGGAAGATGATGCTCCAGAAGAACCGAGCATGCTAGAGGAAGATCTGGAGAGACTGCAACTTCCTTTGATGGTGAATTAAAGAGAAAATGAAGAGAAACTCCGCACTGCATTCACAGTTACAGTGGATGCAAAACATGGTACTACAACTGGTGTATCAGCTCATGATAGAGCAACAACAGTGTTGGCCCTTGCTTCTGGATATTCCAAGCCAGAGGATTTCAATCGCCTGGGTCACATTTTCCCATTGAAGTATAGGGAATGAGGGGTCCTGAAAAGGGCTTGGCATACTGAAGCTTTTGTTGATCTTGCAGTGCTAGCTGGGCTGGATCCTGTTGCAGTTCTCTACGAGGTTGTCGATGATGATGGATCCATGGCTAGATTACCAAAGCTTCGTCAAATTGCTGAGTGGAAAAACTTAAAAATCGTATCCATTGCTGATTTAATCAGATATAGGAGAAAGAGAGATAAATTAACTGATCTCGCTGGTGTGGCTTGGATACCAACTATGTGGGGGCCATTCACGGCCTATTGTTACAAGTCAATATTGGATGGGATTGAGCATATAGTTATGGTTAAGGGTGAGATTGGAGATGGACAAGATATTCTTGTCAGGGTTAACACGGAATGCCTCACGGGAGACATATTTGGATCCACTAGATGCGACTGTGGGAATCAACTTGGCCTTGCAATGAAACAGATCGAGGCTGCTGGCAGGGGTGTTTTGGTATACCTTCGTGGGCATGAAGGCAGGGGAATCGGTTTGGGCCACAAGCTCCATGCATATAATCTGCAGGACGCCGGTCACGATACAGTAGAAGAAAAAAAAGAGCTTGGGTTGCCTATTGATTCAACAGCATTTCGGCCGCAAGGGAACTGTGTTCAACTTACTTTGTGGTGATGCAGACCAAATATTTCAATGATGTTGCTGGTGTTTGGTTTGTTTCACACGTGTTCAATGTTCAATCACATCAAAAGTTTGCATAGATTCAAGTCGAACGGAGGGAAGTATCGGTATTTTCGATTCAAGTCGAACGGAGGGAAGCATCGGCACTTTCGATTCAAGTCGAACGGAGGGAAGCATCGGCACTTCCGATTCAAATCGAACGGAATGAAGCATCGGCACTTTCGATTCAAATCGAACGGAATGAAGCATCGACACTTCCGATTCAAGTGAACGGAAGGAAGCATCGACACTTCCGATTCAAGTCGAACGGAGGGAAGCATCGGCACTTTCGATTCAAATCGAACGGAGGGAAGCATCGACACTTTCGATTCAAATCGAACGGAATGAAGCATCAGCACTTCTGATTTAAGTGTTCATCTTTTCATCAAGAAGGTAAAGTAGAGGGAATGTTAGATTGTAATTAAAGAGGATAAAAGAAAGAGCAGGGGGAATGTTAGATTACTATCAATACAGCACGTGTGCATGAGGAGGCAGTTAGACTATTAGGATTGGTTATGCTGAGGTTGTTAGTTTGTTAGACGGTTAGTGGAGCTGATGAGAGTCTAATCTTCTTGTATAAATATAATGTACCAGCTGATATGAAGAATACAGTATACTTTTCTGTGTATATTCTCTATTACGCTCACCGCTCACTTCCTAATATATATATATATATATATATATATATATATATATATATATAGGTATTTTATCTACCAACGTTTAATTTTTTTTATCAAAACAAACTTTTTTTTATAGAAATCATTAATTGACTAATGATTAATTCATGTTATTGATGTGATATTTTCTTATGTATTTAATTGTTGACGTGACATATATAATAATATCACTTTTGGTGATGTTGCATATGACACGTGTTATATCATTACTTTAGGTGATATGACACATACCACGTCATCAATTGAACACGTGTGAAAATGTCATATCAATAACATGGGTTGACTGTTAGTCAACTAACGGTTTCCATCTAACAATATCTATCTTGTTCAAAAATTAAAACGTTAGGATAAAATACTCTAGAAAGAGAGAACAAGGTGATCATTTTGCCTTTGATCCATAAATTATTACCCAAATTAGCCCTAAGCTTTTACCCACATTTGAATCAACCTTGGATATAAATAGACACTTCACTTGAAGGGCTTATTTGGTTACAACAACATTCTTCAGGCATGTTTAATAGAAGTGAAATAGGTAATTGTTTTTCTTTTCCTTTGAATATACGAAAGCAATAGATAATAATTTTGTTCAATTAAGGTCTTGGTCAAAATTCTGCATTTCACCCATGTACTATAGGAAACTTGTGGATTTAGTACATCTACTTTTATTTGCTCAAATTTAATACTATAATTTTCAAAATATTATCATCTGTTTATTTTTTTCGTTAATTCTGTGAAAAGAAATCAGTGCACCACACGTTAATGCCATATACTTTTCAACAAATCCCCAAATGCTTCACCACTGAACGAAACAATACTTCTTGTTACATAAATGAAATAAAATAAAAATAAGTTGAAATTAACTATATAATAATATTATTTTCATAAATTTTATACATTTAAATATTTTTATTTGTTTCGAGTTATTTTATAAAAATAAAATAAAATTCCTAGAAATGTGAAATGAGAAAGGCTATAGAAATTGAAATTTAAATGTTATTTTCATTTAAAACTAAATTGTTTGCTTACAGTGGGCAAAATCACTTCAATAATGAATTGAAAAAAAATATATCATTTAATGATACCTTGAATGTATTTTCTCAAATACGATGGTGTTTACAGTGTTTATTAGAAGATGCAAGGATTATCTATTGTCTTTATGAAGATGCATGTCTCACATACCCTCCTATCAAAGTCGACGGAGAAAAAAATGGAGGGACCAAATTTTTACACTTTGAAAAGTACAAGTACTAAATCTATAAATTTCCTTTCATAAGGGTTAAAATGAAGAATTTGACCTTAAGTGATTTACAAAACACGAGTGATGTTTGGTCAAATCCTGCTGAAA